GGTAGTTACTGTAACCATAGTGAGCTTCTGTGCGTGGTTAATGTAGTTATGTACCATATGGAGGCTCTGTGACGTGGTTAAATGGTAGTTACTGTACCATAGTGGAAGCTTCTGTGACGTGGTTAAATGGTAGTTACTGTACCATAGTGGAGGCTTCTGTGACGTGGTGAAGTGGTAGTTACTGTACCATAGTGGAGGCTTCTGAGACGTGGTTAAATGGTAGTTACTGTACCATAGTGGAGGCTTCTGTGACGTGGTTAAATGGTAGTTATGAATTGTTCCAGCCACGGTAATATATATTATATTTTCAGTGATATATCAAAAAATCTGATAAGTATGAGAGTATGATATATGCAGAATGACCTCATGATAAGAATTAGAAAGTATGACTAGTATGATCAAGTATTTCAAGCATGAAATAAGTGTTGTTTGAGCTATGTATGATAACTTGTCAGGTCATTAATTCTCTTTGATGAGGTCAGAGTTTTATTTTTCTACTCCCTGAGCCCGGCCATAGGCCAGGCTCGTCTGATGCTCGCCTGGCCAACCAGGGTGGCCAAAAGAAAAGAATCACACACCATCATTCATTCAATAGCTGTCTGGGCAATAGTGCCCAATTTCAAACTTGTAATGATCTTCTGATTTAGTTATAAATACACGTGGGATGATCCTGTTTTTCCAGGGTCACGAATGAATGGTAGGAGTGTCTCAGGGAGAGTGGTCAGAGGTCACTGCAGGTCACAGCTCTGGCTGGGTGTGGCTCACACTCAAGAGTCAACTTTCCGGGGTTAGTAGTCAGACTAGGATCTTACTCCCCGGTTCTGGAATAGAGAATAACACGTCGTTTGACTATATTTGATGATTACATTCCGTAATTGACACACTGCCAATCTCAGTGCTATTATCTGATTGACAGGGCCACTCAGGAGTATTTCCATGCAGGAGAGAATCATAGCCAATCACTGCCTTTCACGACCAGAAATCTGAAATCAAGCCTGATAAGTTCGCCTCTATAAGCAATTTTTCCGGACTAAATCGAGCTGCAATCATTCTTATCAACTGAATAATTCCTCATCATCGTCATCATTATCATCATCATTATTCCTGGATGTTACACTACAGTGGTAATCATTCACGAGGAATATGTTAGATGTGTATATTATCATCTTGTTAGCAGAAATGTATTATTAACTAATTTTCAGATGACTGAAGAGAGGACACTAGACGACGTTTCGGTCCCTCATAGACCATTTTCAAGATGTTTCGGTCCATCATGGACCATTATAAAGATGTTTCGGTCCTTCCTGAACTAATTTTCAAGTCACAGGTTTGACTTGAGAAATCATTTAAAGTTCTCTAAGTGTGAGTCAATTGTAAATTGTTCCAGTTAGGTATTGTGGGTTGTGAATTGTTCCAGCTACGGTATTGTGGGTTGTGAATTATTCCAGCTACGGTATTGTGGGTTGTGAATTGTTCCAGCTACGGTATTGTGGGTTGTGAATTGTTCCAGCTACGGTATTGTGTGTTGTGAATTGTCCCAGCTACGGTATTGTGGGTTGTGAATGCTTGTGGGGGTCGATACCCGGCTCCTGGGCCCAAGTATTATTACAAAATTGGTATAGAATACCGACAAGGTGAGGAATCAGGGTCATGTAACACCTGACCATCTTCCGTTGAAGACGTCCTGCCAACCATTGACCAAGTTTAACACGTGTTTTAACACGTGCTGTACACATGTCTCAGTACACAGATGTACCGCCCTGGTATTGTTGATTTCTGACTTTTTGGACACCACCATGCCAACTCTTGAAGCTGTGTATTGTGTTTGCGTCCAGCAAAAGTTCGTATGACTTGCTGGAATGATATATAAATCTCTGTCCTCAGTAGAATTGTGCTCATCACCCGTGCTTCATATATTGTGGTTTTGTGAGGTATTTTGAACGCGGGTTGGCGCAGCAAATTATCTTGGGGAAATTGCAGTGACTTCCTCCATAACTGTAACGTGGCCAGCGAGCTGCCAGCAGCAACAGTCTGCACGACCAGGCATTTAACAGAGAGGTTTGACCCAGGGCCGGGCCGCAGGAGTAGGGAAAACTGGTAAAGCAGGTCACTGGTAAATCACAGGTAAATACTTCTGGTCCCAGCACGTGTGTGTTGCTTGACTTTGTTTAATAATAATAATTATACTATTTATGATAATAGTATTACTAATAATAATGATACTAATAAAAATACTACTTGTAATTGTACTATTAATTATACTAGTAAAAATAATTATAATTATACTAATTATCATACTGCTAACAATGATTATCATGCTACTACAACTAATAATAATGATTATTATACTACTTCTATTAATAATTATACTAATCATTATACTACTACTACTGATAATAATAATGGTATTGCAGAAGGGATGTTATAGGTATGAAAGCAATCAATAATTTGACCCGTTCATCCATCTTGCCTTGGCTCATGGACTCTTCACCTTTAGTCACGGTCCTAGACCAGTCCTGGTTGACAGTCAGGGTTCTAGACCAGTCCTGGTTGACAGGGTTCTAGACCAGTCCTGGTTGACAGGGTTCTAGACCAGTCCTGGTTGACAGGGTTCTAGACCAATCCTGGTTGACAGTCAGGGTTCTAGACCAGTCCTGGTTGACAGGGTTCTAGACCAGTCCTGGTTGAGTCAGGGTTCTAGACCAGTCCTGGTTGACAGTCACGGTCCTAGACCAGTCCTGGTTAACAGTCACGGCCCTAGACCAGTCCTGGTTGACAGTCACGGTCCTAGAACAGTCCTCCTGGTTGACAGTCAGGGTTCTAGACCAGTCCTGGTTGACAGGGTCCTAGACCAGTCCTCCTGGTTGACAGTCAGGGTTCTAGACCAGTCCTGGTTGACAGGGTCCTAGACCAGTCCTGGTTGACAGTCACGGTCCTAAACCAGTCCTGGCTGACAGTCACGGTCCTAGACCAGTCCTGGTTGACAGTCACGATCCTAGACCAGTCCTGGTTGACAGTCACGGTCCTAGACTAATCCTGGTTGACAAGCACGGTCCTAGACCAGTTCTGGTTGACAGTCACGATCCTAGACCAGTCCTGGTTGACAGGGTCCTAGACCAGTCCTTCTGGTTGACAGTCAGGGTTCTAGACCAGTCCTGGTTGACAGGGTCCTAGACCAGTCCTGGGTGACAGTCACGGTCCTAGACCAGTCCTGGGTGACAGTCACGGTTCTAGACCAGTCCTGGGTGACAGTCACGGTCCTAGACCAGTCCTGGGTGACAGTCAGGGTTCTAGACCAGTCCTGGTTGACAGGGTCCTAGACCAGTCCTGGGTGACAGTCACGGTCCTAGACCAGTCCTGGGTGACAGTCACGGTCCTAGACCAGTCCTGGGTGACAGTCACGGTCCTAGACCAGTCCTGGGTGACAGTCACGGTCCTAGACCAGTCCTGGGTGACAGTCACGGTCCTAGACCAGTCCTGGGTGACAGGGTCCTAGACCAGTCCTGGGTGACAGTCACGGTACTAGACCAGTCCTGGGTGACAGTCACGGTCCTAGACCAACCCACCAGGTCGACAGTTAGTACAAGATGACAGCTTCACTGACAGCTTGGTAAACATTAGTCACCTTCACTATACACTTAACCTACTCTACGTGAGTCTTCATGTTCCTGTAATATATCGCGTGTTGATTGCCAGTTGTGCCAGGCTGTTGCTGTTGGCAGCCCGCTGGTCCACGGTTATGTTTCATATCCCGTGTAGGGGGCGATGACCCCCAGGATTACGTCCAAAATGACAAAAAAATCATGGTTAGTAGACTGAAAACTGGTTCAGTTTTGTGGAGAAAGTTGAATTATTTCTGAACCACAGGAGAGAAACCAAAAACATCACACAACACACACACACACACAACACACACCACACACACACAACACACACACACACACACACACACACACACACACACACAACAAAATAAAATATTATAATATATATATATTATATATATATATATGTGTGTGTGTGTGTCGTGCCGAATAGGTAAAACTGGTCAATTAGCAAGAACTCATTTAAAATTAAGTCCTTTCTAAAATTTTCTCCTATACGTTTAAAGATATATTTTTTATTTATATTAATGTAAAAATTAATAATTTAGTACCAAAAGAACCTTAGAAAACTTACCTGACCTTATTATAACAAGTGCAGTTTAATTTAGCCTAATGCAACTAAATATATTTTAGATAAGTTTACAATAATTTAATAATAAACACAATGAAATAATTTTTTTCGTTAGGCTCAGAATGATTTTTTTCGAAATTATTGCATATACAAATTTTCGTTTCCCTTATTCGGCAAGAAGAGCGTTTCTGTTTAGGACAAAATCGCAAGTTTGACCTATTCGGCACGACACACATTTCGAGGAGGTACTTAGGAGAATTATTTCAAGGTGAGAGCACCTTGTATCAGCACACTGCTGGGAGTCTCCTAGCAATATTGCTGAGTGTTGGCAATCCCTAGTGGCACTATAGTGGTGTTAGTGGCATTATAATTGTGTTTAGTGGTACTATATTATATTAGTGGCGCTGTAATGGTGTTATTAGTAAATATCGCTAAAATATTGTGGCATTGTAGTGGTGTGAGCATCACTATAGTGGTGTCAGTGACACGTTAGTGGTGCTAGTGGCACCATAATGGTGTTAGTGGCTATATAGCACAACCTGACACTTCAAGATGGTCATCTTGCTGTTACTAAAGGACTCTAGATGCAAGGAATTGAGCCACCCTCCAGTAATGCAATAATAATAATTAATAATAATAATAATAATATAAAATAATTAAAATAATAATACTTTTGAAAGCAACAGGGGTAGAGCTAGAGGTTTCCCACGGTGTGGCACTCTATAATATGGCCCTGGCAGCAGCTGGCACTGACGGACGATACCCAGAGAGAGCGAATAAGGCAGTCACAGTAGCGCCCATAAGGTGCTGGGCATCCCTGGGTAGCAGTAGACTTGTGGTGGTTAATAAGCTTGGGCATCCCAGTAGTGTGTCTAGTCTGCCTATGTTGTTTGAGTTTGGGTATGCCCCCGGTAGTTTTGCTTGGTCTTTAAGAGGATACTGGATTACAACTGCCAAGTTGAAGATCAATCAGGCTGTGATGGATGCGTGTGCCCAGCAGCAAGTAAACAGCAACAACCTGGTTGAATAGGCACTCAGTGAAACTTGGATGGTAGGGTATAAATACCCTCAAAGTTGGTCACAGGTATATGTAAGGTATGTTCTACTCTGTGTGATAGTTACATTGTGGGAACACCAGCAGTGTGTGTTACTGTTCTGTGTTGATAGTTTTACCTTGTGGGAACACCAGCAGGTGATGTTAAAACTGTTCTATATGAAGATACATTGTGGGAACACCAGCAGTGTGATGTACGTTCTGTGTGGATAGTTAATTGTGGGAAACCAGCAGTGGTGATGTTACACTTGTTCTACTCTGTATGATAGTTACATTGTGGGAACACCAGCAGTGTGATGTTACTGTTCTGTGTGATAGTTACATTGTGGGAACACCAGCAGTGTGATGTTACACTGTTCTATATGATAGTTACATTGTGGGAACACCAGCAGTGTGATGTTACTGTTCTGTGTGATAGTTACATTGTGGGAACACCAGCAGTGTGATGTTACACTGTTCTATATGATAGTTACATTGTGGGAACACCAGCAGTGTGATGTTACACTGTTCTATATGATAGTTACATTGTGGGAACACTCACAGTGTGCTGCTGCACTATGTATAATAGTTACATTGTGAGAACGAAAGGTGGCCATATTTAATTGTCTTAATCCATTACACAGGATGGGTCACATACATCAGGTAATGAAATGTGTCAGCCTGAGCTGGGAGACTTCACTAGTGTCAGCCTGAGCTGGGAGACTTCACTAGTGTCAGCCTGAGCTGGGAGACTTCACTAGTGTCAGCCTGAGCTGGGAAACTTCACTAGTGTCAGCCTGAGCTGGGAGACTTCACTAGTGTCAGCCTGAGCTGGGAGACTTCACTAGTGTCAGCCTGAGCTGGGAGACTTCAGTAGGGTGATGAGGATATCGTCAAACATTCCACTATGGTTCAGTAACTACCAACCCTTCAAGGATTACTTTCCAGCAGATCTAGAGTTGCTATTACTTAGGAATTGCCACCTTTCAGGATGGTGTGTGAGCAGGATACATACAGGGCTGGTGTTGGGAAAGACTGTGCAGCTACTGTACACTGTGCTCTTGCCTGTGGTAGGTGGCTGGTGTGTGTTAACCAGGGCTGCTGGTGTAACCTGGACACAAAGACACTTCTGTGTGACCAGGAACACATCGCTGCTAATCATGTAACTGTATATACAGAAGATTTTTTGTTTCAGGATCTTATTTGGGCTAGAGAACATCCTACACTTACCTTGTTGCACTGGCAATGGTTGACTCGGAGCTCTTGGGCCTGCCTTACTGACAGATTTTACTGATTTCTGGTCTTTAGGGTCCGATCATGACCAGAACCTTCAAACCAAGAGATGACAAACCAATAGTGATCCTCTTCTAGTCGCTTGTTCTCTCTCATTTTTTTTACACTGGAGTTTTACAAGGTTAGATTAAGGTTCCTAACTTTTTCTGCAAGGTAACAGCTATTACCTCTCTCTCTCTCTCTATCTAGGCTGCAATATTGCTGTACACTAACAGCCCAGTTTCAGCTCAAGTGAATGTACAGACAATCTTCAATGCCAGTATAATCTGAAGTCAGGCACCTAAATAATTGGACAAGCCTGAAGTCTCTGGAACTGTGCTTCTTGGAATCTGGCGAGAAAGACTTAATTTACATCTGAAAATTTCTGGAGAGACCAGTCCTAAATCTGCACGCCGAAATGAATTCCTACGAGAGCAAAATCTCAGTGGTAATACTACCAGTAGTGATTCCAGTGATGCTCTCAGTGGGGATCCCAGTGGCGATCTCAGTGGGGTTCTAGATAAAAGTTCAGTGTTTGTCCGAATATTGACTTCAGGAGGTGATCGAATTCATTTGTTTCGTTCTACTGCAGGAAGCGCACCGGATCACAGGCTCTCCTGGGCAGGGTCGGCTACCTCGCGAGCAGTGAATCATACACACACAATGAGCCTTTTATTTTCCAACGTTTCGCCCAATGAAGTGTTGAATATAAGGCTTACTTGATCCTTGTCTATTTTCACCATCTACTAACTACATTGTAAGACGGTATGAAGCATCGTTGAAATCTAAATCACCGGTTTACCATTTTCTGCGCCTCAGGTTGTTGATAAATAGGTGTTCTGGGACAAGGTCAGGCACACTGTGAGTAGGTACAAGGCATCGTGGGCATCCAAATGACCTATTTTGTGTTACATTCCCTTCAGGTGGTTCATCCTTTCCTTGAAGTCTGTGTTGCTGGCCAGGAGACAGACACAGTATGATGATACACAAATAACCCTCACATACAAGTTTATGACGACGTTTGGGTCCCACTTGGTTCACTTACAAGTCAAACTGTAGCTTGTAAATGATCCGAGTTGGACCCAAACGTCGTTATAGATTTATCTCTCCTGTGTGCGGCTTATCTGTGTATTGTTCCAGTCACGGTATTGTGCCTTTTTGTTCTTCAGGATGATATTGTGAGGCTTCTGGTAGGATAGTTCCAACGGTAGCGATATATATCTTTATACCTTTGATAAGTTTCGAGAGTCTTTCTACTCCTGGAGCCCGGCCATGGGCCAGGCTCGTCTGGTTGGCTACTTGATGGATTCACATTTTCAAGATTTTGAGGACGAGTTCTGGCGGTTCTTGGAGACCCCTGACCAAGTGCTTTCAGTGTCAGAACCTCTTGAAGAACTGTTACTGCTTCATGCAAGAACCATCTTAAGTGTGGATGTCATGCATGAATAAGGTTCTGGCGGTGAAGATATGTAAAAGGATGAATAAGACACATGTGCAATATTTCAGAATCTCTACTGGGGCAGTGTTTCAGCCGTCAGTAACTTTATCAGCCGTGCAGAGATGTAAACACGAAGGGGTAGTAGTTGGTAGAGGAGGAGGAGCATGGTGAAGACGGTAGGATCGATAGATGGGAAGAGTTTGCAGGGTGCAGAGGCAAGGAGGAACCTCACGCATGCCTCTGTCATTGTGAGAGGCAACAGCACTCACCAGCAGCAACAGCAGGAGGGGTGCTGGTCACTGTCACCCCCGCCCATCCACGCCCACACACCCGCCCACCCGCCCACACACCCGCGCTTCACGAGGGATTCATACACGCAATGGTGGTGGAACACTACTCAAGATAGAGGGACCTCTCTCTCTCTCCTCTCTCTCCTCTCTCTCTCTCCCTCTCTCTCTCTTCTCTCTCCCTCTCTCTCTCTCTCTCTCTCTCTCTCATGCACACAGACACACACAGCAGCAGTAACAGCAGCAACAATAGCAGCAGCAATAGCAGCAACAACAGCAGCAACACCAACACCAACGACAACACCAACGACAACAGCAGCAGTAACAACAACAACAGCAGCACCACCACCACGAACAGCAACAGCAGCAGCAACAATAATAACAGCAGCAGCAGCAGTATAGGGTCATAAACACTGAGCTGTGTCCTGGCGTCTGTGTTCTTGTAGTTCCAGCAATCCGGATTCACTGGCAGCCATGTTGTCTGGTGGCGCCTCCGTTCTTATAGTTCTAGGAATCCGGATTCTCAGCAGCTTCCAATGGTTGCCATGTTGTGTGTCACTCTCAGACACTCCCATGTCCTGCCACGCCCACGCCCTGCCATGAGAGAAACCCTACAGTAGGCCTACTGGTCTGTATTTGGCTGTATCCAAATCGAATCCATTGTGTATGTTTATACCTGTCTTCAGCTGTATATCTACTCTCATATATCTATATCTACTTTCATATCTCCCTCATATCTACCCTAATATCTCCCCACATATATCTCCCGATATATCTCCCCGCATATCTACCGTCATATCTACCCCCTTTCTACGTCTTTCAAGAGAGTGTAGGTTGAGGTCCTATCTACCTTTGTGTGATTTATCTACTGTATTTGGAAGATCAACCTCGTAGCAGATTCTCCGTACAGTGAACCAACATCGTTATTCCTCTCTCTCTCTCTCTCTCTCTCTCTCTCTCTCTCTCTCTCTCTCTCTCTCTCTCCTCTCATCTCTCTCTCTCTCTCTCTCTCTCTCTCTCTCTCTCTCTCACGCACAGGGGTGGGTCTTGAAGACAACCAGGGGTCTTGAAGACAACCAGGGGTCTTGAAGACAACCAGGGGTCTTGAAGACAACCAAGGGTCTTTAAGACAACCAAGGGTCTTGAAGACAACCAGGGGTCTTGAAGACAGCCAGGGGTCTTGAGGGCCAACCAGGGGTCTTGAGGGACAACCAGGGATCTTGAAGACAACCAGGGGTCTTGAAGAAACCAGGGATCTTGAAGATAACCAGGGGTCTTGAGGGACAACCAGGGATCTTGAAGACAACCAAGGGTCTTGAAGACAACCAGGGGTCTTGAGGGACAACCAGGGATCTTGAAGACAACCAGGGGTCTTGAAGACAGCCAGGGGTCTTGAGGGACAACCAGGGGTCTTGAGGGACAACCAGGGATCTTGAAGACAACCAGGGTCTTGAAGAAACCAGGGATCTTGAAGATAACCAGGGGTCTTGAGGGACAACCAGGGGTCTTGAGGGACAACCAGGGATCTTGAGGGACAACCAGGGATCTTGAAGACAACCAGGGATCTTGAAGACAACCAGGGATCTTGAGGGACAACCAGGGATCTTGACAACCAGGGGTCTTGAAGACAACCAGGGGTCTTGAAGACAACCAGGGATCTTGAAGACAACCAGGGATCTTGAAGACAACCAGGGGTCTTGAGGGACAACCAGGGATCTTGAAGACAACCAGGGGTCTTGAGGGACAACCAGGGATCTTGAAGACGATACCTCGTATGCCTGGTGGAAGACAGTTGAAGACGATACCTCGTATGCCTGGTGGGAGACAGTTGAAGACGATACCTCGTATGCCTGGTGGGAGACAGTTGAAGACGATACCTCGTATGCCTGGTGGGAGACAGTTGAAGACGATACCTCGTATGCCTGGTGGGATACAGTTGAAGACGATACCTCGTATGCCAGGTGGGAGACAGTTGAAGACGATACCTCGTATGCCTGGTGGGATACAGTTGAAGACGATACCTCGTATGCCTGGTGGGAGACAGTTGAAGACGATACCTCGTATG